CCCTCTGTACACTAGACAGATACTCATATGTGCCCTCTGTACACTAGACAGATACTCATATGTGCCCTCTGTACACAAGCAGTGTGATGCTTTTGTGCACCAACTGGGTCTCAAGTTTTTGTTGATATCGGAAGAGTGGTGAATTGGGAGCTACTCATATACTGGGAGAAATGTAATGGGCTGTAGTTGTCTCTCTGCTACTCCGCGGTTAGTGTAGTTGGTGGAAAAGAGGAGAAGGTCTATGTGTTAGGGAGAGGATAGTTATGAATTTCTCTTACTTTACCTTGCATAAATCTACTGATGTCTTTACTTAAGCTTGAACCCAATCTTTTTACTTCCAGTACAGAGATTTAGGTGAATACGGCATCATACTAACCAATATACTATAACATAAAGTTTTTTTTTTTTTTTTTTTTAAATCATTACCATTGAAGGGACCTCTCACACTTAACCTGCCTCTTGTCAGGTAAAATGTTTTATTTGCATTGCACTCAGATCTGGAATGTCCAGATAAAGTGTATATGAATTTTGCTGGAGCAATAGCTAGTAGCTCAAAGATTACAAGATAGGAAGAAAAACATGACTTTAATTGAGAATTATTTTATTCACTTTAGAAGGTGTCCAGTATAAAAAGTGACATTAAAATACTTGAAACTCTGTCCCTTTTATTTTCCCCAATGATTCAAAATGTAGTTTGCAACATAAACACTGGTAGTCTATAAATTAATAAAATAAAAATGATAAATTCCTATGTTTTAAATTATTCAAAATTCAGCCAATATTTATGGGGTGTCATTCTACCTGGCAAAAAAGAAAAATTACCAATAATCTGCACAGTCTAAAAAGAAAATTTAGAGTCACAGGATTCTGTTTGAAAACGAACCTGTCTAGAGAATGTTCCCTGAACATTCTTGACTTAATTGAACAGCACACACTAGAGGGGAAGTCAGCACAACTGGACTAAACCAAAGCTAAGACGTTTCCTGAACACAATCAAACACTTCAAGGAACAGAGTAGCAGGGGTGGGGGTCTGGGGACCATGCTTTCAGGGGACATCTAGGTCAACTGGCATAACAAAGTTTATTAAGAAAATGTTCCGCATCCTACTTTGGTGAGTGGCATCTGGGGGTCTTAAAAGCTAGCAAGCAGCCATCTAAGATGCATCAATTGCTCCCAACCACCTGGAGTAAAGGAGAATGAAGAACACCAAAGTCACAAGGGAAGTATTCGCCCAAGAGACAGAAAGGGCCACATAAACCAAAGACTTCATCAGCCTGAGACCAGAAGAACTAGATGGTGACCAGCTACCACCAATGACCGCCCTGACAACAGAGAGTCCTTGATGGAGCAGGAGAAATGCGGGGTGCAGAACTCAAATTCTAGTAAAAAGACCAGATTTAATGGTCTGATTGAGACTGGAGGAACCCCAGAAAGCAGGGCCCCCAGGTTCTCTATCAGCCCAGAACTAAAACAATTCCCAAGGCCAACTCTTCAGACAAAGATTGGACTGGACTGTGGGACATAAAATGATACTCGTGAAGAGTGTGTGCCTTTTAGCTCAAGTAGATACATGAGACTAAATGGGCAGCTCCTGTCCAGAGGTGAGATGAGAACGCAGAGAGGGTTAGGAGCTGGTTGAAAGGACACAGGAAATCAGGGGTGGAAAGGAGGAGTGTGCTGTCACAGTATAGGGAGAGCAATTAGGGTCACATAACAATGTATGTATAAATTTTTGTATGAGAGACT